AAAGGGAAAACCCCCCAAAACATAATATGGCCTGTTTTTAAAGGTACAATTAGTAAGAGGAGGCTGTGGGTGTGGCTCAGTGTTTAGTGAGCTGGACTTCGAATCAGGGGATTGCAAGTTTGAGTCCCACTGCAGTCAGCATGTCGTTGTGTCCCTGGGCAAGACACTTCACCCCAAATTGCTCCTGTGGGGATTGCCCACAGTACTGAATGTATGTTAGTCGCTTTGGATAAAAGCGTCTAACAAAGGACATGTAATGACATGTAATGTAAGACAATGAAAAACAGCTTATGAGCTACAAAAAAGTATCCCTTTAAATCGTAAATCCATGAGCCACTAGAAATGTGTGGTGTGTTGACATCTGCAGAGACTCCTTCCCTCTACCTGTATTTTTCCTTTTATCATTTCGCTTTTTTGGGGGCATTTTGTGGTGTCAGCCTTTATGAAAACACAAATATAGCGAGGCAATAAGCCGAGCAGGTAAAGCTGATTTCTAAAAAGAATTGAATCTAGGGTTGTCTTTCCCCCTTTTGACTTGCACTGTTAAAATGTGGAAGCTTTGATAAACCCTTAAAATATCATTAATTGTTTCTTTACCTATGGAAATGTCGAGCTTAGCTTAGCTTAGCTTAGCATAAAGAGTAAAAGCATGGTGTGATATGACTGGCTTGGTTCGATTTAAAGTGCAATACACCAGCACATCTAAAGGCCACAGCAGCAGGGGACTCTGAATCATTTGATCTTATTAAAGGGTTTTATTGAAGAGGGGAAATGCTCTCTGAGCTAACAAGCTTTCTGTCATTAGCTCAGAAGTTAATGAGCTAATAAGTTCACACAGTTCATTCACAAGAAGTACCATATTTGTAAAAAAAATTCTCATAACTCTCTGATAACAATTCCTCCTTTGTACAGCTATTCTTATTTAAACAGAGGAGGTTTTAATTAAAGCGGATGGTGGAACACACTTTTAAATTTCTGTTTGAGTACAGATTAAACAGACGAGATTTAATTTGATAACCAGTGACTGCATGCTGACATCACATTTTGTTAATCCTTTTTGGAGTCAAAAGTAATGTCAGCTTAGTAATATCTGTTTTGTTTTTTTACTGTACATATTTTACATTTTTTTACATTCTATTTCAATGTAAATACTCTTTAATTAATTTTGTATTTTACTATATATTTTCCTATCTTCTTAAAATAGTTATCTATCTGTGTTTCCAAAAAATTGTTTTACTTTTATGTATGCACCACGACACCAAGTCAAATTCCTCGTACGTGTCAACCTGGTAATAAACCCGTAGTTATGTTATTCAAAGACAAAAGGAGTTTAGGGAATATGTCAGAAAAGTTTTCTCTCCTCAGCCGGTGTAATGGGGCGTGCGAGCGTTTGATTGACCACAGCTACCAGAGAGACAATCTAACACCACAGGGGACGTGTCATGGTGGGACAGCATGTCGTTAGTGGTATTTAAGAGTAAGGGCCGAACCAGCATTTAAATGGGCCAGATTGACATTTGCAGGTGTGTTTACATGCTGGTTATTGAGGGATGCAGCAGAGCGGCTAATTAGCTGTCAAGCCGGCACACTGGTGTTAGCTCTTCACTTTTCTCCGGTGAATGTTTGTTTGGTCGCTCGTTCAACAATAGTGGAAGTGTCTTCATGTTGGTAAGTTAGGTAAGAAGGAGACTTTAGCAGAAAAGTGGGTTGTTGTTCAAAGTGTGTGGCATTTGTGTTGAGCAGACTGCTGCAGGCTGCGTGTGAAAAGTATTTTTTGCGTATTAAAGAACACTGATTTTAATGCTGTATTAAACATTTGACTGTCTGTATTGATATTAAGGGGTTAAATGACACCAAATCCACGTTTCAGGCAGAGAAATCGAAGAATTTATTACGCTTTGGTGTCTGATTTTTTCCCTCAATGACAACACAGAACATTACTTAGACTATTTGACTTCTGTTGCACTTAAGTTTTGGAAGGAGTCATGCCAGAACAGTTGAAGGTGCCACAGGTGTCAAGCTAATTAAGTGGAAAAACTGGGCTCCACTTCAAGTCCTTGCAGTTATTTGGCTGTCAGTGTCTCCTTGAGACAATTTAGGTTAGTTTGGAAGTCATGACCGACCTCCCGATTAAGTCTTTTGCCAACTTTCATTATTTCCATTGCAGTTTGAGAGTAAAAAAACAAATCATTCTGATAATGTTTCCGGTTAATTATCATCAATCGGGAGGAAATCAAATTCAGTTCTTCACCACAACCAAATATCTGACTTTATCAATTAGTGAATGACTCTTGGAAAAAGATAATTCTACTCCAGAGATCTCGAAGGTTTCCTATACTTTAAATCCATTTTGAGGAAAAGTACAACCTGCCTAATTAAATAAGCTTTTACACTCCTGTTGAGGTCCCTACTGAGCTATTGAGATTGCTTTTTCTCTCTCTTTAAACCATTTTAAGATCACATCTCATAATCACTTAAACCCACTGTTGGCCACCTCCAACACGTCTGTCCGAGCGCTGCATGTGTTAACATCCTTTCACAAACACCACATGCGATTTGACTTTCTCTGCCGTGGAAGTGAGGGATTTAGTTTGAAGGGTGTGAAGGTTCAGCCATAATGTGTGAGCACAGCAGAAATGTCAAGTGCTGTAAAAGCATGAAGTGACACTTTGATTGTCCTTGTAGAAACACAGGCTGTTTTGGTGCCAGTCAGTGTAATCTGCACGGCATTAATCATACGAAGTCAGTCTGTCCATCGGCTGTCCGCTCAGTCAGACACTTTGGACCAGATTGAAAAATCCATATCTGTCATTATATATCATAAAATGAAATTTTGTACAGGATGAACAAGCTGATTTTGACCCCTTTAATATTACTCTAGCACCTCACATGTCCAGTGAAATGTTGTGATGCAGGGATGACGTTTTTTGTATGACAGCTATCAGTGCACTCGTTCCACCCGACAAAAAGGTAATGCAATATTTCATTTGATTTGGGATTATTGGAGAAAATAGGTTCTGTGGCAAACTAAAATGTTATCGTACTGGCAAGTTTTGATCAGCAAAAAAATCCTGAACTCTACTTTTAGGAATTAGGAAGCATAAAGCCAAAAAGCTAACGTTAAAATACACTGTGTAGGCTAAAATACAAGATTCTCATTTTAGCACACACATACAAAATGGCCACAATCATACCCTACGGAGATATACTTTATGAATTACTTGGAGATATACTTGAAAATATGTTTTTATTAATGAATTGATCGAAAAGGACCTCGCATTAGCTTCAGCTATAGTTTTTGCTATGTGCTAATTAGCCAATGTTAGCATGCTAAAACGCTAAGCTAAGACATTGCTCAATTTTAGTCTAACGGAAATGTGAAGGCAGTATATGGATTGTCACAACATTTAGTACAGACATTGTCCCCATCAGGATAATCTTTCATAACTTCTAGTATCTTTTATAAACTTCTGAAACTGGACTCCGTGTTTAGCGCTAGTTTGCAAATATTAGCAGCTAAGATGGAACATGCTATCTTGTTGATTAAAACATTTAGTGTCTAGTTGGCTCTACACTCTAGGTAAAAAGATCCACTTACTAAGTCATTAACTGTACATTTCATTCATTGCCTTGTTTATTATACTCTATGGAGGACTTTTTTTTTTACAAAGAATGATTGTGTCTTTGTTTTCCTGCTCTTGATAAATTGTCTCCTCCATTCATGCTCCTTATTAGCATGTTCACTTTCCCAAAAGAGTTTGAACACATGAGGGATCTGAAGTCAATAGGTGGGCTTTTCTACACTCCTCCAGATTCTTTATCTCAGTGAAGCTAAGTTGGTGTTATTGATGATTATCGCTCCTTGATCTATGAACTGAGGGCGGCAGCTGGCTCTTTTCTTTCTCTCCTCGTTCTTCTGCTCACTATAGGTTTCCACTCATTAAGAGTTAACGGTGTTTATAAATCGGCGTCTTTATTTTACCCGAGTCATTACACTCCACTTCTTGTTTGTTTTTCGTTTCTGCTGAACCCCTCTTAAATCTAATGTGAGCAAGGAATGTTGTCATGAAATCATTAGGGTGGTTCAATAACGTTTGTGTGCCAAGGAGAGAGCCTTCTGCTCTTCTGCCTCCTGAGCAATAACGTGGAGATTATTGAGCAACCCTTGAAGAAGTTCAAGTTTAACAACTTGAGGTGAGGAAACTCTGGGATGAAAGGGATGAGGAGTGATTAGGGCTCCAAGGTGCTAACATGGTGCCTGGACGAAGAACAATTTGTTCCAGAAAATAGTCTCTGGACATCGTCAACAAGTAACAAAGCCAGCAGGAGAATAATTGTGTTGGAGAGCTGTGAGTCAGAAAAAGGCTTTTATGTTTGAGAACACCTTTGAGTCTCCAGCCAGTCATTATATGTATTTTAATGAGTGACAATTTCGTTTTTCGATGAGGAAAAGAAGAACTGTGTCTGATTATTTATAATGCTTTTAATGATAATTCAAATGTAGTAATTGGATTCACATTATAGGGCAGCGTTTTAATCCCCTAAACGTACCCATAAGAAAATGTTAATCAGACACACGAGGAAGGTCTCTAAATCTTCCTTTTTGAATTAAATTGTTTTAATCAGTTTACTGTTGTATTGTATTTTCCTGATATTTCAATTGCATACATCAAATGCTGCTTACTGATGCGAAGAAAATGATGGTGGAGGAAACCTGAATGCTTTCAGGGTGTCCGCGGGGTCTTAAAAAGTATTAACAGTTGATAAATCAATTTAGCGAAAATTAAGGCTATTAAAAAGTATTAAAAAGTATTAAACGGCATTTTCCAAGGTATTAAGAAGGTCCACAGCAACGACAACATGAAACACCCTTTAATTTACTGAAACGACATGTCGGGAAACCCCCTCAAGGCGGACCCCATAGCGCGCCGTAAAATGCTGCTTCCTATTTTAAGTTTCGTCCGTGCCTTGCTTGGTTCGAGCGAGGGGCCCCCACAAACTCTCGAATCGCCATTGTCGATGGGGATCAAAGCTGTCCGGTCCCACATGCTAAGTGCTAGCCAGAAAGCCGCGGCGTTTAAGTCCCGACTCTCCCGATAGCCAATCCGTGCCTCCCCTGACTGCACGTCGCTGACACGCACCGCTGCAGACTCTCTGCACGGAGGAGCAGCGGAGTTCGGCCGATGCTGCTCCTCCAAGGAAGAGACACACGTTCACTAAGCCGAACTATATCCTGTCACAGTGATCTGCTATTTTAAAGATCTAAGGATGTGGTGGTTACAAATCTCTCAGCCTGTCACATCTATGGCCGCTTTACTCTGAGCTTTTTAGCTGGAGAAAAAACTAAAGAAGCAGCTCAACAAATGACATTAGGATAAGATTGTCACTTTGTTCTTTAGGCCTTCTGGGAGTTGTGTTGATATGCTGTTGGATTAAGAGCCTCCTCTTTGCTGAGAACTGTCAAGCCGACTGACGAACACTGCTTGTGTTAGCCACTAATGCCAACTCAAGGTAAGCCACAAAACAATCCACTCTCAGCCAGCCATTTCTTTCCGAACAGACCCTAAACATAATTACAGAAACAATTACCAGTCTCTACACAACCAAACGACTTTGTGCCAGAAACAAAATCTTGCATTGTGCTGGTGCACTTAATGTACTTTAAACCTTCAACCGTAACCAAAGTACCACATAGAGAATTTCAATAAGAAAAAATAACTACCTGGCGCAAAACTAGCGCTGCTTGAACTGGTCATTGTGTGACAACAAATAAACAAACCATTTAGTCTAAAAGTCACAGAATTAGCACATCAACTTCACTCCGTCTGCTTTTTCTTTTGCCACAACATGTGAAATGCTACTCCACTAATAATAAATCTAGCTCACTACAGTATATCATTAACTTTTGACAGCAGCCATGTGGGAAATCAGGCCAAGGAACTGCTCAAACTGTAAGACGGACGACCCTTCTGACATGCCAGATATATCCATCTGCTTGTCCAACAGGCCGACATTCAGCCAAAAACACCAGTCCAAAGGCTTGGCTGTCCCTCCAGTACATTTCCAGTAAGCTATTGACCCCATGGTTAAAACAAATAACTAACATTGATTGTAATTAATATGTGGAATCACCAGCCAATGAGAGACATGTTCGATATAAATGTCTCTATAGAGTCAGTCATTCGATACGGAATCTATAAGAAAAAAAAATAGATTCTTACCGTGCTGGCGTATTGGATGTCCCTCCATATGTTAGTTTCCCTGGAGAGGTCTGATGTCTCAAACAAGTTGTCCAGCTCCACCTCGCCGATCATATCGTGCCGTGAAAAGCGGTCAAAGTCAAAGACGCTCATGTGGAGCTTCCTGATCGCCAGCTCGTCGTAAGGCACAGGAAACTGGAAGCTCTCGTTGAATATGGGGTTGAGCATCTTCCGGTGGACGCGAGTCTGGAACTTCTTGCGGTCGGGTAGCAGGTACACCTTCACATAAGGGTCAGACGTCCCACATAAGTCCTTGGCAGGGAGGTCTGACGCCTTGATGATGTTGACTATGAGCGCCTCGTTTTCGTAGTCGTACTTGAGAGAGAAGTTAATCCTGCCACAGTTTTTGCTGCTGCCGTTCTTGGACGAATCCTCCGACTCCAGGGTCTTCTGTTGGTAGAGTTCTGGCTGGATGCGACCGATGCTTGTGGGCCTATCGTCATTGTCCGGCGTGTAGTCGTACCCCAGGTCTAGACTGCCTACCTGCATCTGCCTGGGAAGGTGTCTTTTGAATGAATTGTGCCTGCAGGGGAGAAGGAAAGAGAGTGAATGACAATGTCTTCAATGGCTTTTGAAGAGCAGTGAAGACGAGCAGGGAATATCAAAAAGGGGAGGTTGAATTCAAGAGAGGAAGCTTTGAAATGTACCAAGCTGACCACCTATAGTGTCTCCTTACAGTATATCATCTTACTTCTGGTTAAGTTTCAATTGATTCAAAACCCAATAAGCTAAGTAAGTTGTTTTCTGAGTTAAAGGATAATCGCTTGCATTTTTATTGTTTTTGCAAATGCATGAAAGCAAATATTCGAAGAAGATTGCCTGCTATTCTCAATCCACTTTCAGTCTTATATGCTTAGCATACCGATTAAGAGTCAATCTGCTTTGCATTGATACCCTGTTTAGTTTTTCATTTCCTTGCTCCGATGTGGAATTGTCTGCTGTGTTGTGGTAGGAATGCAAAATACTTGAATTGTGTTTGTGTTATATAAAAAGTTCAAAGTAATTTCAAAATGATGCCCTAAATGTATAAAATAATAATAACACCAAATGAGGTCCTGGAGGGGGGGGGGAGGGGGGGTGAACGACGGTTTGCTTTGTCAGGACCCTAAAAGGACATGTTTGCTGCTTAAGCCTATTTAAAAATAGATGTGCTTTTTTAATGCGCAGTTGCATAATAAGCAGACAGGACTGATGTGCACTTAATAAAATGGTAACAAATGTTTGAGTTCTGCTGTTCA